AAAATTAAGTATTTTTGTGTAGACACCCCCTTTCACCAATTCCTGTAATAAAAGTCTTCGGGCTTTGCCTCACAGGCCATCAAAATCCCAATGTATTTCGTACGAAGAAAATATTTTGTTTACTTAAACAGACGAGTATTTTTTTATTAATTAGAGCTGTTTAAACCCAAGATACACACAAGAGCGATCGTTTTCAGAGTAGTTCGTTTTCAGTTTCGATAACTGGAGTGGAGTCATTAATTACATTATCTTTGAGTTGACTCTTTTAAGTCTTTGGAAATTATGACTATTTTATTAAAACGTTTTTATTAGGTCGCTTTCTTGTCCGCTACAAATTTTGCAACCGATTTTAGACTAACTTCCCGATGAGCTAGGGACTTAAAACTTGAAACATATCTCACAAATGGAAGACAATGCAATATTATACAATTTAATTTTCATATTTCCCTTGGGCTACGCCCCATGGGCTTGTTTTTATTAAATCGATTTCTTGCAAATTTTGATACTTCCCGATGAGCTAGAGACTTGAAATTTGAAACATAGCTCACAAATGGATGACATTACAATATTATATCATTTAATTTTCATATTTCCTTTCGGGCTACGCCCCATGGGCTTGTTTTTATTAGCTCACTTTCCTACAAATTTTGATATCAATTTTAAACGATGTTCCCGATAAGCTAGAGACTTGAAATTTGAAACATAGTTTACAAATGCATGACAATGCAATATTATATCATTTAATTTTTTATATTTCCCTTGGGCTACGGCCCATGGGCTTCCAAATTTTTCATGTTTACATTTTGAAAGAATGTAAATAAATATATCAATTAATTTAAGTCAGCTGTAAATACTTAAATTTGACAGTTCAAAGAGCAGAGGTTAAGAGGTACAGGTTATGCTCCCAAGAGATTCGTTATACAAACATTTCAAAATATAGATAAACAATCTGATTGCAGATGTAAAGATGTTCGTTAATAATGTAAATTGTTATTTATTTAATGTTCTATAAAGTAAACAATAAATTAAATAGATTGATATATTTATAGTTAGTAGGTAGGCCATACATTCAATCTAATACATAATTATATGAAAACAAACTCAAATAAACCTTAGATTTCCCACATGCCTTTGTCTTAATCCGATATAGATGCTTGAAATAGATTTAACATCCTCAAGCATTAAAAAACTAAAAAATAGAAAATAATTTATAAATAAAAAACTTTTTTAAACAAAACGTTTTTAAACGCCCTAAAAAGTAGAAAATAATTTACAAATAATTTATAAATATGTTGAGAGAGTATAAATACTTGTACGATTTAAAACGAAAAACGTGGGGTGCATGCAATAGATAGTTTACAATTACCTTCACCTACTGAACTAATGTATTATTATCAATTAACACGTTCGCTACCGAGCGACGCACATATGCGTCGGTCCGGTCACTTCTACAGACCAAAAGGAATGATCATGACGTTGCTTACAGACCAAGTGATATAGGAATAACATTGCCGACAGACCAAAAGAGAAATATCGTTTAAATGGACTAATTGACTTTATATTAACCATAAGTGAATTAGTAAGCAATGAATTTTGTTTTTATTTATCGTTTTGAGCAAATTTTAAAAGTCTATTTAATGAAATCCAGTCAAAAAGATTACATTTTCGTTACAATAGACCAGGCGACGCACGTAAGCGTCGTTGTAAATTTGGTTGTTTGAAGGAAAAGTTTGAACAAATAAAAATTGTTTTGGTATAAAACTTGCATTTGGTACAAAAATTACATCATTACTGATATAGATGTCATACATATAAAACTTTGAGCTACTAAACTCACCTAAAATAGCCCAGTAACTTTAGTTAAAAATCAAGGCCAACAAAGACATGAAAGATGTAAAGCTGATTTTTTGCATGGTGATAGTGTATGATAGGAAGGGTGTTTTCTGAAAGTTCCCCGAATTTCCCCCCCTTGCTTTCCCTTAAACCCCCCCCTCCCCCCAAACACCAGGTTGAACGTGTAGTGTTTTACTAAATCACCTATATCTTTTGATATAAACAAGCTATCAGCATAATTGTTTTTTCTTTGAACTCCCCGTTAAATTTACTTTAACAAAACGACCTTACATGAAGCATTATCTCTATTGGGTGGGTTTATATCTGTGATATTACAAAATATATATATTTATTTTTTAATGAAATTGTAGATTAGGTCAAACTCTGGTTTTGCAGTAGATCGTACGTCAATGTGTTTCAAACATAACTTTTTACCTATTTAATAAGCTTTCCAAAAATGTATAACAATATATATTTTTATTTAAGCTGTTGTCGAATGTAGCCATTTAAATCCACGCTTCAAACAGCCACATACCTCACTTAGCGCATCATTCCAAATTGTCCAGTAAATATTACTAATTGATTACTTTTTGTTCATTTATTGTGTACACACCCTGTGAGTGTGTTTAACAAGCAAATTAAGAACACTGAATTTAAAAATAGTAAGAAAATAAGTACTCACAAGGATTGAAAATGAAGTAATCGGTAGTTATAAGAAAAGGCAAATACAGGGTTATTGGTACTCAGTGTGACAAAAATTCTTTGGTGTAAGTACAAAGTAAATGCAGTGTGATGATGCACATAAAAGGTTCCAAGTCTAAAAATTAGCTTCCCAAAGAATTATTTTTGTGTTTTTCAGAAATAACTATGTTTTAAACTTAATACAGCTATTTCTCAACTTGTAAATGGATTTAAGTAGATAATATCTAATGTCATTTTCGTCTTCTACATTAAATGTTGAATAAGAATAATATAAAATTACGGGGGATCAGTTGTAAAAACTCCATTGTAAATAGATTCATAGATAAAAACTAAGATGTTTGATAAAAATGTAAAAAACATTGGTCTATTGCATTTGTTCACACCCTGTATACAAGAAAGTGTCCGAATATGGTAAAAACTGCGCCATTTTATAATTTTTCCAACCATATGCTACACCATTGAGCTTTATGTCTGCTTATGTACGCTTTAGTGGTTTGAAGACTACAAAACATGGTGCCTTTAACATTTCAAACATAGAAAGTTGGTATGTATTAAGCAAAACTTGTATTATTGTTTCAGCTTGAACAGTAAAAGCAGTAAAAAAGTCCCCTCTTTTCTGGCATTCAAACCACTAAAACAAAAGAATATCTAAACCTCAATAGTAGAGCATATGGTTGGAAATCTTATAAAATGGCCCAGCTTTTAACATATTCGGACACTTTCTTGTATACAGGGTGTGAAAAATTAAAATGCAACAGACCCATGTTTATTTTTATTTTTATTCAAATCATAATTTTTATCTTTGAATCTATTTACAATGGGGGTTTTACAACTGATTCTCCGTAATTTTCTATTATTCTTATTCAAAATTTAATGTAGAACACGAAAATGACATCATCTACTAAAATCTATATACAGGTAATTGAGAAATAGCTGAATTAAGTTTAAAAACATAGTTATTTTTTAAAAACATAGTTATTTTTTAAAAACATAGAATAATTTTTTGAGAATCTAATTTTTAGACTTGGAACCTTTTATATGCATCATCACACTTCATTGACTTTGTACTTACATCAAAAATGTTTGTCACACTGAGTACCAATCACCACAGTATATGCTCAACAAGTTTATTTAATTACAGTAAAAAAAAAAAAAAAACACTTAAAGTAAGGCATAACCTATCAGATACAGTACATATCAACTTTCCTTTCCCTCATCATCGTCAGTTCCTTCGTCAATGAAGGGTGGGAGTGAATTTATACAATCGATGCTTTATACAATCAATTTAGTTGTACAAAGTTTAAAAAAATATATCTAATTTAGAATTTTCTCACCGCTTAACATTTGGAGATCACTTAGCTTATTGCTAATAACTTTTAAATAAAGGGAAAATCGACCAAAGTGGATGTGATATTCTGTAAGAGGATAAAATTGCCTACAAATTCGTACCATGCACTTCTTGAATATACTCAAAATAAGCAGCCAAAAGTCGCACCCGAACAAAAAATGTGTGAAAAACACAGTTTTCAATGTATTTCTTATGGAAAGATTTTTTTATTTTTCACCATAAATCATAACATAAACAAACTTTCATAATTATTTGCAAATCTACACGAGTTAAGCTTTTTCCAACGACACAATAGTTAATAAAATCGGTCCAGTAGAACTCTAGATTTACAAATATTTTTTAAACTGAATTATATATAGAAATAGATAGTAATATTTACTGGACAAGTTTGAATGATGGGCTAAGTGTGCTTTGTGGCTGTTTGAAGCATGGATTTAAATGGCTTCATTCGGTAACAATTTAAATTAAAATATATATCATTATACATTTTTGGAAAGTTCATAAAATAGGTAAAAATTGTTTTTACAATGACATACTACATGCTGCAAAACCGACGTTTGGCCTAATCTACAACTTCATGTTTTAAATAAAATAATATTTATTTTGTATCACATATAAAACCCCACCCAATAGAGATAATACTACGTGTAAGGTTATTTTATTAAAGTAAATTTAACGGGGAGTTCAAAGAAAAAACAATTATGCTGATAGCTCTTTTACATAAAAAGATATAGGTGAATTATTAAAACACTACACTTTCAAACTGGTGTTTGGGGGGGAGGGGGGGTTTAAGGGGAAGCAAGGGGGGGAAATTCGGGGAACTTTCAGAAAACACCCTTCCTTTTATATACTATCACCACGCAAAAAATCAGCTTTACATCTTTCATGTCTAGGTTCTTACCTAAACTGACTGGGCTAAAATGTCTTGTCTTTCTAAAAAAAACTCACTTAAAAAATGTCTTGTATTGCTAATAAACTCACATAAAAATGTCTTGTATTGCTAATAAACTCACATAAAAATGTCTTGTATTGCTAATAAACTCACATAAAAATGTCTTGGATTTCTATTCTAATAAACTCACATAAAAATGTCTTTTCTTGCCATCAGTGGTTTGGTTTAGTTGCCGTGGTGTTCCCTAAAACATGGAGAGATGCAGAATCCCAACGCCTTCTCCTTAGGGTCTTTACAAACGTTGCAGATGTAAAATGTATCGGTCCTCTTGCTATGTTTTGACCTGCAAACGTAGCACCTTACTCTTTTTTCCAATTTCATAGGCAAATGTTGGGACACTGCTGATGAGATGCTAGTGCGAAGAGGACGTTTTACTGGCTCCACTTGAAGGAAGTGTTTAATAATGATGTCCCTGTAGCTAAGGTATGTCATCTTTCCGTTAAGCTTAGAAAAGAGATAAACACTATTCCAAAGTGATACGTCCAACAAATGGAGAAATATCTTCACGTACCAGCGAAGGGACTTGCGTGGAGTTGAGTAATAAGATAGCATCTGGTCGCTTCTGTCAATGCCACTCATACCTTTATTATAGGCTACAATCATTGATGGCTTCTTTATCACCACGCCTCTTCTGTTTGTGACATTCTCCATCTCTGGACCATTTGTTGTGGAAATGGTTAGCACGTTTCTCTTGTCTCTCCACTTCATTACTGTCACGTCACCCTTTTGTCGACTAATATACTCTCCCTTCTTCAGCTTGGCCTGCACCACAACCTGCGGATTAGCAGACCTGTCAGCCTGCAGGGTCCCGCACATGTTCGTTTGGTGCTCCAAAAGGGTTTCAGCCAAATCAACACTATTATAAAAATTGTCCAAAAACACAGCATGGCCTTTGTGTAAGTAGTTTTCCATGAGCTTCATTACAACTTGATAGGTGTGACCCTTCTCTTCGTTTGTCAGTGTGCCTTTCCCTTGATAAATAATTATATTGAGAATATAGCCGTCGGAAGTGCAAAGTTCATAAAGCTTTATTCCGTACTTGTGGGCTTTGTTTTTTATGTACTGGCGAAACGATAGGCGTCCGCGAAACAAGACCATTGCTTCGTCAAGGGATAAGTTTTTCCCAGGACTGTAAACTTTGTTACAGTTTTCCAAAACATGATTTAGTACCTGATCAATTTTGTGCATTTTGTGGTTGGTGGGATCTGTATCCCGATCATAAAAACATAAACACTGTAAAATACTCTCATATCTGTTGCGAGCCATTGTACTGCCGAATATCGGGTGTTCATACAGTGGATCTTTCGACCAATAGTGTTTTAATGTGGGGATGTCTACATTACCCATAAGTATGGTTAGGCCTAAGAACGTTTTTAGTTCTTCTCTGGTAACATCAGTCCATCTGTTCAGTGCTGCATATTTTGGCAGGGGTTCCCCTCGAGATGTTGCAGCTCTTTTGTTAGTCCATGCCACGATCTTATCCATGAGGGCGTCGTCAAAAATAGAGCTAAATATGGCAATTGGATCTGTTGTTTCTATGTTTACTTTCTCTTGGCCAGTAAACTCAAACTGCTGTGGCGCATTATTTGTGTCCTTCCATAACCCTTCAACAGCCTCGTAATGATTGTGGATAGAATTAACAACAAACTCTACATTAGTATCTACATAGGGTAATTCACTGTTCTGGTCGTTGTTTTCAAGGTTAACCCCATTGATTTCATTTTCAGGTTCCCCATCATTATTTTGTTCAACAGTAAAAGGAATCTCTAGTTCTTGAAAAACATCCATATTTCCATTGACGACCTCGATTTCAACTTCATTATTGAAATGTTCAAATACCTCGTCCATATTCTGTTCGACAGTAGACGACTCACAAGCTGCATCTATCGCCATGTCTTCTTGTAGTTCGTGGTAGTCTTGTTCACAAGATGAAGAATCATCGCTATCCGAAGTTGGGATATATTCAGTGGCTCCATCGGAAGAAAACAATGAACTTAGTTCAGAATCACTATCACTTTCGTTACTGATCATGCGATCAATTTCACTATCAGTATATAAAAAAGATGGGTTTTTAGGCCTAGTAGGCCTATTGCGTTTCATGATCAAGCTTTTACACAAACAAATAAAGAAACTCCACTAAACACTAGCCAAAACTGCAGAGGTTAGAGATGTAAAATCTGTTCTGTGATGTCGCGGAATACACAATGTTGCCAACTGTTGTGTGACGTAACCAATCGTCATATCCACAGACCAAGCGACGCACATTTGCGGCAGATATCCCTCTAGACCGATACGATAAAATCAGGGCTTTAAAATAGACCGTTGCTAAGAAATACGCAGATTAATAACATTAGAGCACCGACGCAAATGTGCGTCGTTAGTCTATTTCAATGTGACCAGCTGACGCAAATATGCGTCGGTCGTCTATTGTGAGAAACGAGTCGACGCACAATTGCGTCGCTGGTCTATGCGAACGTAAATTCCATATAATTGTGGTAGCGAACATGTTAATTGCATGCACCCAACGTTTTTCGTTTTAAATCGTACAAGTATTTATACTCTCTCAACATATTTATAAATTATTTGTAAATTATTTTCTACTTTTTAGGGCGTTTAAAAACGTTTTGTTTGAAAAAGTTTTTTATTTATAAATTATTTCGTTTTGAAATAACGCCTGTAATAGTTTGCAATTGCTCAAGTTCGAGCAACAGGTGCACTAGTAAGAATGGAATAAACTGTTACTGACTGAAGAAATAGAACTCTTTACCAGCTACATATAGTTTCTTACCTTAAGGATTACTTGAGCTGAAGAAGATTAATTAGGCCGGACTTTTCTTATAGTTACATCAATGTCTCTCCAAACATCATCACAAACAGACTTCTTTGTCCTCTTCGGAGGATTTTCAATGGGTTGTTCATTTTCGACAGCATAGTCTTCATTTTCGCCTGATTCTCTTTTCCATTTGTTGATGAGGCCGGTCACCAATTCAATAGCATCCTTCTTGGTAGCTTCCGCTGTCTTTGGTAGTTGAAACAAGTGACGTTTGTAGCTTGGGTCCAGAAAAGTGAATAGGCATCATGTTTTAATATTTCCCAACAACGGAATTCTTTCTTCATTGCCCCTCTTTAGTTTGTTCAACACCGTTTGTACCGATTCGTTTGTCAGAATCATTTTTGAAACAGCTTCCTTTAAAGCATATGTCACCGGCATTACCTTACTTAACTTGCTGTCAGATACTTCTCACCGCTTATTTCTTTAGGTACCTCAAAGAACGACTCAAAAGATCAACCAACTGTTCACAAATGTCCCATTCTTCTGGAGTTGATGACATGAGGCCTGAATCTGACAATGCTAAGGCGTGTTTAACTGCATCTTTCAATAAATTAAACCTCTCCAACATAAAGTATGTCGAGTTCCATCGTGTAATCACAACCTGGAGTAACTTTTTTGTCGTTTTGAGCCTGATTGCTCTTGATACTTGACAAGCAGCATTGCTACTCTTAAAATTATGAGACAATGGATTTTACTTTTCTTATCAAATCGCTCGATTGTTTTGGTTTGAAAAACCGTCTCTACTAAATTGAGTTCTTCTTTTATTTCATTTTTCTTTTGCTCGTTTAAAGCTGGTAAGAGTCTATTAGCAAAGTATTTTCTTGATGGTATTTCATACAAGGGAACACAAGTTGTCATTACATTTTTAAATCCCTTATCCTCTACAACAGTAAATGGTTGAAAATCCCAAGAAATAAATTGCATTATTGCAGTGTATTTTTTTTTTCACAGGTTATTACCTTCTTTGGTACATAAGATGCTTGGTACATGTTTGCTTTTTTGCCCTAGCAGCACTATTTTTTGTAGGCTATGTAGACATTTCAGATGAGTTTGATTGAGTGTGATCCCTAAAGTCACTATATCAATGATTAGAATTTGAAATTAATACTATTTTATACTAATAATCTCACTCAAGTTAACATCTTAAAGCAATATCAAGGTTTTTACAAGGGCAGTAGTATAAAATAAAATACAAGATTTCAACAAAGGTTTATTATTAACTTCCATGCATATACACATTATATATTTACAAAATATTTAGGCCTACAAAAGGTTATGCCTATTTGCACATTACTATATCTTTTACATGCACATTTTCAGTACATTTTTCTTGTGATTAGCTTTCTTTTGAAGTCATATTTGTGAGTTTAGGAGTAAGCGAGTTCCAACTTTTCCTCTGGGTTTCTTCGAAAGATTGACGTTTTATGTCAACAATTATTTGGTTATCGACTAACTGTTTAACAACAAAAATGTCCGAATGATTGTTATAAAAATTTGTTTTAAATTTTGAGTGGAAATTCTCATACGGATTGTTTGATGCTGGTTAGTAGTTCTCCGTTGAAGGATGTCCATATCTTAGGCATAAACATTGATTCTTCGCATATGTAGTTTTCGACTAAGTAGTCTGCGAATTTGGTTGGAGACCTTCTTTGTGCCACAGAAGTCCGACATTGGATATGTATATACATATATATATGATTAACATAGGCGCTTTGAAAGCCCCTGGGTGAAACAGCCGACAAGCTAAGTTTAAATAGCATACAATGATTAGTTGTTGCTATTAGTTGTTACCGATTTAGCTGACTTAGTTCGGGCCGCTGGCACTTGGGTCGCGGTAGTGGATGGTAATGCAGCACGCCGCTGAGCTTAGTCATCAGACGAGAACTTCCCGACAGACCACCACCGCCCACATATCCGTTTCAATCGCGGATTACTCCTGATAATGCGCATGCGCGAGTAAACTGCTACGTGGAACTGTGACATATATCAGATTTGTGATTTATCTGTTACAATGTTACTTTTACCAACTAGCCTGTGCTTTGCTTTCTTAGTATAATTTCTGGTTCTTGCTCATCCGTTGGTTTGGTTTATTTGTTTAGGACAGGATCTCTCCTCTCTCATCATCTCTTGTGCAAGTCCTCCCCCTCACATCACAACTAATTATTAGGGCTCCATAGACGGTGTTTTTGTTAATCGCCCAAAGCATTATTACTTGTTTGGCCTATTTTAACCTACATAATATATCGCTATGTATCCGTTTGACCTCCCTCCTCTAAAGTCTCAATAATTTTATAATATTTACTTACTATCCTTAGTTTCTGCCTTGGTTAGAAAGAATCTTACTGTATTTGAGATCGCCATGTTCTGAGTCAGCTATGTGGCTATATCACAATTAAAAATTATGGATCTAGGTCTCAATAAAAAACTTTACAGTAACATATTCCTTGAAAGTTAGGCCTAGTTTGCAAATTAAACTTGAACTTTAATGTATTAATAGGTGTAAACTAAACTAGCCTAGGCCTATCTCAAAATATGTAAACTAATATTATGCAAGTTAAGTTATGCCAGTTTAAGTATTTAGTTTGTGCTGAAACTAAGTTGAGCACTTCGCTTCACACTGTATGTTTGTGTCTTAGGCCTGAATAAAGTAAATAGCACTCTTGTTTATCAAAAGTGGTGATTAGGGTACTGTATAAAGCTTTTGGAATGATAAAAAAGAATGTGATAAATTAGGTTCCTTTGTAACACAGAGATGAAGTTGGCCTGGCCTAACAGGCGGTTAATTTCAGAATTTAAGTTACGTATGTTTTCTACGTATTGACTGCATTTAAGTTACCTTCTTATTTATCCAAAATGGCTGAGTGGAATTGGATTTTTTTCAAATTACCTTACCTGTGGCATCATCTTAATGTATTAATATGGGTTAGGTTAAAGGTAGAAATTTTACAATTAAGGATAAGAATAGGCCTACCTTATATTCCACATACGGGTCCTAGTTTATAGGATCTAAGGTGACATCTATTTCATTGAATTAAAACAGTGCAGGTCTACTACAATTAAACTTATGTAGACTCAAGTCCTGTACCATAGATAAAACATAGTCCCTTAGTAGATTTCCTGCTATCCTCATGGAACAGATGAAGCCAATTTTATTGTAAGTTCTGTCTGGTTTTCTGTAGATGTAGTGTTTTGTTTACAATTTGTTTCTTGTTATTTCAGTAATTTAAAACCTCGTTTAGCCAAATAAAACTATCTAATCATAAACAATAACTCGTCCACTAGCTATATAACCAAACAGTGAGACACAAATTATGAGAAACTAACCCTAAAATAATATAAACAAATTGAAAACAAAACATTACATCTACAGAAAACCGGACAGAACTAACAATATAAATGGCTTCAGCTGTTCCATAAGGATGGGAATTTTACTAAGGGATTTGTTTTAACTATGCCTGTACCATTGGCTATTGGATACAGAAGAAGACATCCCATCTATATGGATCAGCTGTCACAAATTGTTTACTAACAAAGAATGTAGTTGTGTGAGCCAGTCACAGATTGCACTAGTGTCTAAAACTCTATTTTGGACCTTATCTTTTGTTACTGACATAGTTGCTGGGCCACAACAGTTGCTATAGCACATAATAAGTCATTCCATCAGTTTGACTTGGTAAAAACCATCGTGTAATTGGCAGAAATCAGTAATTTGGATCAGCGCAATCTGCAGGTGGCTCACATCAACTAAGACACATTTTATGAAAAACCTGGCTACAACTTTAACATGGGGATGGAATGTCTAGTGTTTTCTGTACTCATGGAAGCTTGATCTAGTATTCCAAGACCGCTCGTCTAGGACGCCCTATTTGGTCACAGAATACTTTTAATTAAAATCCTCTACCCTTTCACTCAACACTTGAATTATGTCTTACCTTGAAAGATTGCCAATATCGTTTTTGATGAGTTATTAAGTGCAATTCAAAAAGTCAACTCTACAATCCATTACATTAAAGATAAGTTAGTCCTTTTGACCAACCTAACTTATCCTCTTGGGCCTATAAAGTACAAGGAAATAAGCGATACATATCTCAATTTTCAATAGATGTATAAATAAATACTTTTTAATTTTAGAAGACTCAATAAAAAAAAATAAAAAAAAACTATTGTCATGTTATTATAAAAAACAATTTATTATATA